TGAAATATAATGTACTTAGATCATTCTGTGTCAAAGACCAGTTAAGTGTGTACCCTCTTAAGTGTCTGAATGTTGAGTTGCTCCAGGGGGCACTATTGTAAAGCAGTTCTGTTTCTGGCTGATTTCACAATGGGTACAAAGGAAAAACGGGAATTTCCCTTCAAATTATTCCTTTGTTGTTGCTACTGTCCTTTAATTTGTACCATTTTTGAGTCAGTGAAGCCTCTTGTCCTTGTATAAAAACACCTGTGAGTCCTCTATTACGCTGCCTCTGTTACCGCCCAGGATGTTTGGTTTTTGAGACTACCACTATTTTCATGTGAAACTTGTCAGGCTTATATGTGTCTACCAGTATGAAAGTTAGACATTTGGCTTGAATGCACATTCAGATGCTAAGCTATCCTTCTACCCTCTGTTGTAAATCTTTGGGGCACAATGGTGTGAGTGGAACTGAGTCCAGAGAGGACATTCTCATCTTGCTCTTTTACGTTTGCAGCCAGAGAACGCATTACCAGGGAGTTGCCTGTATGACCTTGTTGCTGTCGTAGTGCATCATGGCTCTGGGTGAGTAGATGTTTAGCATTTCTCAGGTTCGATCTTATGATTTATTTCAATGCCTAAACTGTATAAAACTGTTATAATTGTGAAAATGTGCTTACCAAAGAAGTATTTACTTTAAGTACACAAAGGGAATAGTTATAATTGATACTCAGTGCTTCTGGATTCAAGTGTCATATGTGTAATTATAATTTGCTGTTTTAATGAGCACTTAAAACAGCCACAAGCTGCAGCATCTTGATATCAGATGCATTTGTGACCATGGTAGCAAAATTAACAGCTGTGTCCCCACATGGAAAAAATAAAATCAACACTCAACCGTAAATCTATACATTATCATCTGCTGACCAGTTCTGCCTACCGCAGTTGGCTGTCAGTCACTCCATTGCTGTAAAAACAATTCAGATCCAGTTTAGTTGTAAAGCCTTGTGGACAGCTGCAGTTTAAAAATTCATGAAGCCACTAAACGCTGAAAGGCATTAGGCTGAGAGTCCTTGAAAATGCGTTTAGATATGCCAAGAGCTACTGTTGATTGAAGTGCTGCTGTTTCTACCTTTGGCCTCTGAGTGGTGATGTTGCACTGCTGCCGTGCTGCGAAGCTGAACACATCCCTCTCTCTTCAGCAGCAGTAAATGAAGTCTTGTCAGACGCCACAGATCAGAACGTAATGTATATGTCTGTGTTCACAGGGTTGGATCAGGGCATTATACAGCATATGGCAGCCACAAGGGCGGCTGGTACCACTTCAATGACAGCACAGTAACTCTGACCAATGAGGACACAGTAAGGAAAGCCAAGGCCTACATCCTTTTCTATGTGGAGAGGACTGTCCAGGTGGCCTCAGACCAGACTGCCACAAACAGCACAGCCACAAACAAACCTGCTGTGGACACGGCAGCCGTGGACAGTGTTTCTTCGGAAGCAGTTGCTCAGGACATGGCTGCAGCAGACACAGTAGCCACAGACAGTGTTTTGATGGATACGTCAGCCATGGACGAGAAAGCCCCAGATAGTGCCACCCTGGAAAATGTGGGCAAAGACATGGCTGCACTGGATGAAGCTGACATAGCGTCAGTGGAGGCCGCAGCAGATAGGGATACCTCAGACAAGGCCGCAACAGAGGGAGCTAGCCAAGCTATACAAACAGTTGCACAATGATTGTCTCAGACTTCACCGCCTCAGACCAGCTCCTCACTCCATTTTGGCTTCACCTCAGCCACATCTCTCACAGTGCTTGATTATGATAGTTAATTTTCACGTTTAATATGTGCAACTATTTTGTTTTTATGACCTGCATGAAAGCATCATGTATAATTTGCTGCTTGATTTTTGTTTAGAATGACTTTCTGCATTTATTTCCTTGATGTTGTATTCCTCAGTTGAGGTAGACTTCTCCGTACCTAATAGATTCCAAAGGTGATCGTTTAAAGTAATGAAGTAAAGCTTTAGCCTTGGAAAACCTCAGTTGGTCCAATGTTTATCCTAGACTGATGAGATTCGTTGTGTGAAGACAGTGTGTCATTGTAACAATATTTGGAGTCTTTATTGTTTTTAAAGTTTCTAATTTTATATTTTCCACCTCTTAAGAACCTCATAGTTCTCTTTTCCAGGTATTAGGAGAGATTTTAGGATTTAGAATGCAATGCATTTATTGACTGACAAGTGCTCATTAGGGCTGTAGAAAGTTGTTTTAACCTCTTGACCAGAACCAATGTGAAAGAAATGATCATTCTCAAATTGTTTTGTTTGTCTGTATCGGTGCTGGAGAATCTTTTAACATTTTATGTTGATCTGAAATGGGCTTAGACACGGGCCCCAATGAAATTCTCTTTTTAAAATATGTATCAGGCAAAGTGAACATGACAAAATACAAAAGGAGAATCTTTTTTCAAATGTTTGGTGTTCTTTTTTTTTTTTATCCTTGGGGGGGAAAAAAATAAAAATTCACCTTTTTCTGAACCCCACTCCCTTACTAATAACCCAGAAAATCCATTGCCACAACCAGACAAATTGTAGCAGTGACAACTAAACGGGCAGATAAGGTTATTTATCTCTACCATTACTCTTTTAAGCAGCTAAAATCTTCTCTCTCTATCCACTAGGTGCTAATGTTGAACCATAAAGAAAAATGTCAGATTTTAGATCAAGATTGAGTTTATTTGTGCTTCGGTTAGTTTGTAGTTCAGTTAGTTAAACCACAGTTGAACGATACTGATGCTTCATGAGCTGTTAAACATTTAATTTGTGTTCACAGACGTAAGTTTGAAGTGTTGGGAAGATGAAAAATAAAACTCCAGGACAGACAGTCTGGGCAGAGTTGACACAATTGGTCAATTGACAAAATATTAATCTGCAACAGAAAACAGATTAATTATTTAAATTCTTGCTTTTCAAATGTGAGATTTTGTTGCATTTCCTCATCTGGCATTATAGTAAACTGATATCTTTGATTTTTTTTGGACAGAAAGTGATTTGAAGACCTCATCTTGGACTAATTGTGTCCCATCTTTCACCATTTTATAGTGATATCTAGACCAAATGATTTATCAGTAATGAAAATAATCTATAGTTGCTGCCTTCAAACCCAAAAAAAAATGTTACTATGTTTACCTATAATTTGTCCAGCATATTCTGTTGCTGGATGTTATATTTTTTATACATTTTTATGTTCTTAGAAAAAGTTTAATATCAAAAATCTAAATAAATATAGACTACAATTACAATTTTTCAAATGTAAACATAAAGTCTTCATATGTTGACTTGTTTACCTATGATGTAATGTGATTTTGTTGGCTGGGGACATGCACACAGGAAGGTACTTTATATGCCCAACACCCTTATTATGGCTTGTAATGGAAAACAACGTTTGATATGTTCAAGTATGACCTTAGAGGAGAGACTGCAATCTTTTTTTTTTTTTTTTTTTAGCATGCCATTTTTTTGTTGTTTTTTTTCCTTCCCTCTAGTGAACATCTCCACCCACCCACGCACACACACACGCACATTCATAAGAGCTCCCCTCGGGACACGTGCCAGCCAGCCAGCCTTCTCGCTCAGGCAGAAACAAGCGCTCCTGTATGTTGATGAACAGCTGCTCTTCCTCGCCTGCTCACAGGTGGCTGTGGGCTCGCTACTCTGTCACCATTAATGACACAAGTAGCCTTTTTTCCCCTCCTTTTTCTTATCCTCTCAAAGGCTAGATCACAGCTGCTAATAATGAGCTCACATTGCATTGTGTGTGTGCTAGTTTTTTAGATCAGAGGTCTGGTAAAGGACATTATGACACGGTGAGTCACAGTACAGACTGAATTCAGCTTCCCAACAGTGGCATTTCCCAGTGTCCCTGTTTTTTTTTTTGTTTTTTTTTTTCAGAGGTTGGTGATAACTAGTGGAACAGAATGTAGCTAGCAATGTACCGTGGAGTGATGACATAGATATAATGGTATTTTTCCTTTTGCCATCTCAGTATGTCCTCTGCGCTCCAATTGAGCAATTTCAGGCACACACTGAGTCATAGTTCACCGTGTTCCTTGAGGCAAAGTCCTACGTAACACTGTTTGTGCTCGTGACTTTCACTCACATGAAGGGTGTGCCAGGTTTAGGTGAGGTTGAAATTATGAAGGCTCTGTTATTATTGTGAATATAACAAAGGAAGGTTCTGTGGTCATAAAATGGGTCATTAAAATCGTGTTGTTAAGCATTCATATAATACAGTGCAATAGGTGTCTGCTACTGTAAAGGCTACCTTTGTAAAAACTAATTCCACTAAGTAATTTGTGTTGTGTTTTGCTCCACCCAATATCACGTGGACAAAAGTATCTTTCATTTTTTTCCACCACCTACAGTTCATCTTTAAACGTGATAGAATTGAAACATAAACATCCCCTCCTGACAGGTTTGAAGACTCGTCTTTAGATAATGCTGACGTGGGTTTTTCAACAAAAATGTTTAATTGCCTCCTTAAAAAAAATTACATCTACTCCTTCTCCCTCGTTGAAAAAATGTTGAATGTGAAAACAGCCTTGTGGTGTCCAACTCGTACATCACTGCACACCGAAGGTTAAACATCACTGTGAAGGAACAACAAAACATTTTGGAGCGGATTAAATGTCTCAACAACAGCTGCACATTTTAACTAGAGGAGCATTCGTCGCAGTTGCAGGGTTATTGTATTACAGTGCATTTTGGAGGTGTTTCTCTTTTTTACGTGTCAGTCTGTCTATCTGTATCTGAGAATTAGGCCAGGGCAGTGTAAACATCTGGCTCAGTCCACTGCTTGCTGCCTGTTGCGAGCCATGACAGATGGAAAGGGAGCGTATGGCTCAAACACTTCCATCTTTGACTGCACCGGCAGTTGTCTTCCCAAAATAGCCCGCACTCCACAGCCTTATATGTGCAGGCCTGCAGCATGTGCCTGAGAAGGCATCATGTATCTAGGCCACACAATACAGGCTGTAGGCTCATTGTTGCTGCTTGCCAGCAGGCCTATCGCTGCCCCAGGGACAAGGCCCCTCTTTCTGTCCTGGGACGGCTCACCATGCACCTCACCCAGCTCAACCATGAGTGTCTCCTCCACCTCTTCTCCTTCTTGGACAAGGACAGCCGGAGGAGTTTGTCCTTTACCTGTCAGCAGCTGCGTGAGGTCTTCCTGGACCCCCGCCTCTGGAATCTACTCCACTTCAGCTCCCCGTGTCAACTGAGGAGAGACAACTTTGTGCTGGGACCCTCACTGCGTTACTTGACTATTTGCTGGTATTCCAGCAGGGTCCTGCAAGTGTGCAACATTGAGGACTGGCTGAAGAGTTCGTTTCAGAAGGACATCTGCAGCAAACACGAGAGCCTGGTCAGCACTTTCCTGGCCCATGTCTGCCACATGTAAGTGCCTGTGTGTGGTTCTCCCCTGCTTTGTCATGTATTTTAAAACTGACAAAATCATTTTTCTAATAGTCAGCGACAAAATACAACAGAGGGTGGCACTAGTGAGTTTATGGCTTGTGACCCCTTTAACAAAGTGACGTCTATTTGTAACCTGTCATAACCTGTGCCTGCAGGTTGTGACTACTCCAACCAAAGAGTGATTTATTTTACTGTGTTTGAATCACATTCAGCAATAAAATTATCCTGTGATTCACATCAAAAAAAGGTGTAAAAATAGGTCAGAAAAAATAAGCAAAACATGCATTTTCTGATTTAATCTTATTGGTTCTCTTGTGACCTCTCTGAGTTATCTTGTGACCCCCCTAGCTTGGTCTCAAATGTGACCGTAGAGCTGAATTAACATCACTCTAACACATCCTCCATTAAAACTGGGTGGATTTTTGGGGGGTTACACTTCATTGTAAGGTGCTCCTGTCATGTTGTCAGTCCTTGTAGCTGCTTTTCACATGGCAATGCAAAAATACTTTCAGGAGCCTGTGGTTTCACTGTTTTGTGCTACACATGAACATTTAAAATTTTGTCTCGAAAAAAAAAAACTATTTTTTTAGGTCAGATGCATGATCACGCAATTTATGTGTTTTTCAGGGTCGTTCACACCCACCACAAGGAACAAAATAATTTTCATTTAGAGGCACATGGCTTACTGAATCTGCCATGTTTAGCTGTAGGCAGCAGGCAAGAAAATCATTAGAAACAGATGGTGTATCCGGAGCTGGCTATAGAAACAGAAAAATGACACATCTGTGGGACACAAGCCTGATTCTATTAACTAACATAACTGTGGTCAGATATCAAATTATATTTATTGAATGATGTGACAGTTGGATTTGATAGGTCTCTGAAACGTAGCTTTATTGGCTTTTGGCCTTGTGTGCGTGGCTGGCTGCAAGCAGGAGTCAGCCTGGAGAGGCGTAATGAGGTCTCTGGATAATTTTTTCGAGGTAGCCAGTAATAACCGTTGATGTGAGGGAGCCAGGCCACCGCAGCTGGCTGGGAGAAGAGGAGGGAAGAGGAGGGAAGAGGGGCTGGCTCATGCGCTCAGTGTATGACCCTGTGAGGATTTCCTGTATTGTGAAATTTGAGACGCAAGACATGCGAGCTGCGAGACCAGTCGAAAGTAGAACCACCTACTTTGTCTGGGTCCTGTATCTCAACGGGCTCAAGGCACACTCACTGCATACTGATAAAGCCTCCCAAATAGTCTGAGGGAGAAGAAAGCAAGTGCACGTGACAAAGTGGGAGGGGACACGGACAAGCTGTGGGGGTGATAAAGAGTGATTTGGCTGCAGACCCTCCCAGTCAGCTGCAGACTGGAGATTTACGCAGGCAGGTGGAGCCTACAATTGGCTCTTTGTTGCTGTCAGAGGAATGAACATGTGCATCTGTCTCTGCCTGCCTCTTCCTGGATAAGACTCCACGCAAACTCTGACGCCAAGCTCATGTCAGTCTTTTTTTTTCTTTTTTTCTTTTTTTATCTTCATGGAAAAAACTTTAAAACATCGCATGTCAGCGGTCCGCTTTTTAGTTCAGTTTCCAGTATAATGATCCTCGAGTACAAGACGACTACACTAAATCAGTTATCAAGGACGCAGTTATTTGATTTTGATTTTGATCTTGAGATCACAGCATTAGAGTTATGGAACATGAATTAACATGCTAAGCATGCCATGTAGTGTAGGTTGCACAGTGGGTGGCACAAGAAGCTTTGGCTTTTATGGTTAAATCTTTCTGAGTAGTTTAATTTCAAGATGAGCACCATTCGAATAAATTGATGCGTTCTCTTAGACTGCAAGCACATCTTGAGTGACTATTTAGGTTATGAGTTATGACTTCTGCTCATAAAGTGCCCACAGTTTCAGCTGACAGCTGCTTGAAAATATTCACTACTGAATTTAGATAGTAAAAGACTTAGAAAATCTATTTAGCATGTTTGAAAGGAACCCTTCCACTTAACAGAGCAAGGGAGGGGAATGTTAAATATATGTCTCAGTTCCTTTTCAAGTTCACTGGATAATTTGACCAGACAGAATAACCATCAGGAAACCAAAGAGGTCATTAGAGAGATGATTACAGGTTGGTGGTGTGGTGCTCTGCTTCTGCTCAGCTCAGACCCGACTGCCCTCTATGTTGTGTGTTTTAATGGGGAATACATCATGTCTCAAACTTTAATGGAAACAAGGAAACACACGCAGACATTTCTGCGGCGTACAGTATAGATAGAAGTTGTTAATGGGCAGTACAAAGAAAAAATAAGGCAAGGGAATTTGAAGAGGACAGATTGAGACAAGGTGGCCTGGAGATAATTACATGCTTTTGTGCGAAAAACAACAACATCAACAACACTCATGAAAATCTGCGCAAAGTGAGGGGACGGAGAGGGTGGATTATGTAACAACATGAAGTTTGTATACCTATCATGTTTACCACCATCCTGTGCCTTCAGTTCTGAGGCACACTAGTTATCAGAGAGCAGCTGAATCTCTAAATGCCACCAGCTTTGAGCTCTTGTCATTACTCTGCTCTACCTCCTCCTTGTTTCTTTGGTTAATGTCAATACTGTGCAGTCACATCCGCTGATAAAAAACCCCACATTGGCTGTCCCCCTCCCACCCTCCATGCAACAATGAAACGGGGCACGTGGATTGACTATGCTATCCCATGTTCAGAGGTTACTGGGGCAGCAGCCTCAACACTTGCAGGCAACTGGAATATGTTTGGCTCACATGTGGTAAAGTGGTAAGATTATGTAAGTCTTTATGTAATCTGCATCAGTGAACGTGAATGACATCCCCGGTCCGTAGCCATCAGAGTGTCTGTCTTGCCAGCTCTGTGCTGCCAGCCTGCCAGTAGGTTGCAGTGCACTCCTGATACTGGGTGGAGACATGCAGTAGCACATGCATTTTCACAGCAACATTCATTTGTAGAAGTAATTCCTCCAAAATATAACATGAGAATTTTTTTTTTTTTTTTTTACCATGCTGTCATTCATCAAACATCCTGTAATTGTTCTGTGCAATAGCAACATACTCTATTTATTCACAAAAGCTTGTTAAAGGACGGAAACACATAAGCCCAGTGGGACACAGTGTAAAGAAAAGATAGCTTGCTCTGGGTGTTGAACTGCCCTGTAGTTAAAGAGATCATGTTGCTGCCTCTCAGTGGTGGTGGTTATATCTAATTCACCGATGGCTGACCCCCTGATCTACAGTATACTGTATGTTTGCCTCTGTTATTTGATTCTATTCAAGAGATCTGAAGAGTATTCATCTTCACACACGCCAAACAGCATTGCTTACTCAACACTAGTCCTTCTCCAAACAAACTCATCCTGCCCTATAATATATGTCCCCAGGTGTGATGAGTAAAGATGACTCAAAACAGATCTTAGGTACAAGTTGTACTCTAATCACGAGTGTGGAAACCTGTCATTGGCTAATAACGTCACTGCCACTGTCTGTGCACGTAGGTGTCCCAACCTGCTCCAGCTAACCCTGTCTGGCTGTGGACACATCACCGATCAGGATGTGATCTCCGTGCTGCAGAGCTGCAGGAAGCTACGCCGCCTCTGCCTGGAGAACTGCGTCCGCATCACCGACTGCAGCCTGCGGGAAGGTGTGGTGGCTCATGGAAACGGTCTGGAGGAGGTCAAGGTGGACTTTTGCAGGAACGTCACTCAGGCGGGGCTGCAGGCTGTCAGGGGGAACAGGCCGAGGATCCAGCTGAGTGCAGAGAGGAGCGCTGATATGATCCCTGACAGCAAGCCCGAGGAGAGGGTGCCGCTCAGGAGGACGCTGCAGAAAGTCCTGCAGTTCTCCTGAGGGAAATGCTTCACATGCTTTCACGTGGACCACAAGGGGGAAAAAAAGACGTGATTTAAGGACTTGTCTTTGTTTGTTCTGTTTTGTATTTATATTTAATAGAAGTGTTTTTTGCACCCTTTTGATATCTTTTTATACAACATGTGCTGAATATGAATCTTCCTTATGTGCCTTTCAAGCTGTCTCTATTCCATGTTATTTTAATCAGGGAGAATTCCACACACACACTTACAATAAAGTCTTATATACACAGGTGGCCTCATTGGTAAATGTTAATCAATAAACATTGAAATGCTTAAATGATTTATATTTGTCATTATGGGAAATGTGCTTATTCACTTTCTTATTTAGAGTTAGATGAGAAGATCAAAGCCTATCTTTTGTCAGTGCAGTAAATATGAAAATGTTGCCAACAGCCACTTAGTTTAGACAGAGGGAAACAGCTAACCTGGCAGTATGCAAAAGTAAAAATAAATAAGTCACCCAGCACCACCTCTAATTCCCTCACTATTTAACATAACATTTATATCTTCTTTGTTTGCTGTTTCATGGAGATGTTAAGGAGGTATCAATCACCTCAAATAACTCTCAGCAAGAAAGTGAATAAGCATAATTCCCCCCAAAAAAGACAAACCATTCCTTTAACAGCACATGCTAGTTTAATTAAAACATCACTTCCCCCGAGGAAGTTATGCCCACCTACATGGTACAAAAGAACAGAAGTCGCATGGTTGCACTGTGCTCTGTGTCTGTCATTCTAAGACATGTCAGCGCTGGGAGGAAGGGTTCTCCTAGGGCAAAGTGGCCCTGCGCCTGAGCTGTGATTGGAATCATGTTATATAAGACTGTGAGACACATGAAAGTAGGTTGATTAGTGGAGTGTGTCTGTCTGTAAATGCCATGTGACAATTTTATTGCAGGCTGCTGGGGCGCTCCCATGCCTGTCCAATGACTGCATCTCTAAAGAATAACCATACATTGTCACAAAAGGTCAACTTAATAAGCTTTGTCCCCCATCCCACCAGGACATGTGCTTTTATGATATAATACTGTATGTAGCAAAATACCCGTTTCATTTTGCTGTTGAAGAAAGGTCACAAAACTATATTTGTTTGTTTGTTTGTTTGTTTACTTACTGTTTGTGTTGTTGTTGTTTTTTACAATACTTCTAATTCAAATTTGAGATGGACAAAAATAATGCACAATTTTCTGAATGTAAATGTAAATCTCCATAGTGATGAACCTACAGAAATCAGACCTGTTACAGTTTTCAGCTTCATAAAAAAAAAAAAAAAAAAAACTTCCTGGTGTTAGTTTGTTGCTATGAATCAGAAACAGATGTTTATGTATTTCATATAAATTTATATATAAATGATTATGACTCCATGTAGAATCACTACTGAGGCTAAATATTATCTAAATATACCAATTGAAATATATCTATATTGAGGTATTATTGCCGAACTATAGCACTGATGATTGTAAATTTTCTCTCAGCTTCATTATACAAAATGTTTTAGGATCAATTTTCAAAATTTCACTTGGCTTTTAAGTCATTAGACGAGCATCAAGAGCACAGCGACGAGTAATTTTATTTTCTTTCCAGTAAAAACCACATCTTTGCATATTGAGTTGATAAAAGTCAGAACACATTCAAATTAGATACGAGATCATTTTGTCCTCATGATAGCTCTCTCTAAGCACGTGGGACCCCTATTATGCTTCATATATATAGTGGTGGCAAAAGAAATCCCCCGAGCGTGGGTGAGGATAATACAGCATGTACAGTTTTAATATAAAATAACGTGTGGTTTTCCCAACAAAGGAAGCCCCAAACCAACTAGATAAATATAACTCTGCTATTGCACTGAGACAGGGGCTCACTGTTTAAAGGCCAGGCAGCAAATGCTATATCATTTACCATCAAGAGACATGCCTTAATAGCAAAGTGCCTGCTGGGATAGACCATTAAGAGTTATGAGTTCCAGGTGTGGAGACACCTGAGGCACATCCGGCTGCCTACAGCACTCCACCACAAGACCAAGTGCAAGACATGGAACAATGCAACGTTTTCAAAGCGTCACTGCTCTGCTTGTTTCTTGCAGGGGCAGGGTTTTTTTTTTTTTTTGCTCCTCTGATTTCAAAAGAAGACAATCTTGTCAGACCTGTTGCCCAGATGCGTGTCCTTAAAAGCACTGCGTTTTGCTGCGCAAGCCATTCAATGTGAGGCAGCTGCAGTCCTTTTTGTTACCACAACAGTTCTGATGTGTATAACATTGTATGACTCCTCCTCCTTTATGCAGCTCCTTCATTATATCTGCATTGTGAATAAAGTATCCAAGCACAACCTTCACTCTGATGGAATCCAGGGAGAAGTAATGATTCGTACTAACGAACAAAAAGCCAGCTTGTGTTTGAAAAGAGTGGCTATGTTGAATAGAAAGACACACTCTGAGCTGAACAAGCATTTTCTGTGTGAGTGATTTGATATTTAAAGTATTCTGCAAGCTCATAAATACATAATAAGGATATTCACAGTATATGTCATTGAAATCTCAAACACTTCATGTAATGCAAATGTTCTTTTATTGGATCTGTGCTGGTACATTCAGTGGAATCGTGATGTTGTGTTGGCCTCATTTAGTTGTTTAGTTGTAAAAAGGATTGCTCATGTAAGAAGTGGTGTAATATAAATCCTCCAAGATCAAATGTGGACCCCCACATGCGTCTGTCTCCACTTTGGAGTGTTGAGGACCTAAAACTTGTTTAAGCAACCTTCCCTGAGGTGGAGCAGACTGGGTTTAGGGGTTGGGGATAACTATGCCTTCAAACAGACCACACTTTGCAATTATATCCTCCCTTTATGAGAGCAGTCTGCTGGAGGATTCATGTTCAAAAGTGCATAAGTTGAATATTGTGCCAACTTCAGCTCTCTGGTTGAAGCATCAATCAAGATGAAACCTTTTATCTTTATGACACTGCTTTCAGAAAATACACTTAAAAAAAGAAGAAGAAGAGAACAGTTTTGTTTGAGCGGCCCCAGGAAGTGTTTCAGCCAGACATCTCATTGCCAGTTTTGACCTTTTCGTCCTCTCTTATGTAACTCCACCACTCCACCACACGAAATTGTTTTGAATTAGCAATCTGCTTGTTTGCTGATGAGCTTTCCATTAATACTTCAGCCAAATAATCCACCAAACTGGAAAAGGGACATCATGAGTGGTGGAGGAAGTATTCAAATGCTTCATGAAAGTAAAGGTGCCAAAACCAAATGTAAAAATATTCCATTACAAGTTGAGCATTAACAATGATACACAAGTAAATATTGGATTGGATTTATGAGCAGCATTTTGGTGTTGCATCTGATTGAGGTGGAGCTAATTTGAACTCTTATATGTTTGGGGGTATAATCTGTAAAAATGTGACTTTTATAAACTCATCTTATCTTTTGTTTGTAAAAGCATGAACTCATCTTAAGTTAAGTTAAAGTTAAATTGATTTATTATTATTGATTTTTAGCTGTCAAATACATATGATGGAGTAAAAGGTACAATGTTTGTCTGTGAAAAGTAGTAATTGGGAAGTACAAAGCAGAAAAAATGTGAAGTACAAGTACCTCCAAAATTGTGCATTAATACAGGACATGAATAAATGCACTTAGTTACCTGACCAAACAACCAACCTGCAAGAACAGATGGGCCATCACATGTTACAACACACCTGAACCAAATGAACAGCCAGATTTAAATTCTGTGATTTTGACAGAAAAACCATAAAAAGGCTAATTCCAAGGGACTGATTAAGTTGGCTCCATTAGAATAACAAATTTCATTAAAAGAAATTTGAGCCGAGGGGAACAGCTACCTCTCTAATCATTTTAATTAGCTGCTCTCCTCTCAACAAGTGGCATCACATGGAGAGACAAGAGACCGTTAATGTAAATGATGTGGCATTTTTTTGCATGTAGTTAGGAAGATAGATGATTATTACGTTTGAATGTGAATCACAAAAGACAGAAGTCTATCTTTTAATAATTTATTTGTGAGTGTAATTTGTATTTTAAAAATGTATTATGCTAAACCAGGTTCCTGGCAGGTGACAGTAGCATATCAAAAGAAACAGTGAAAAACAATCACAACTCCAGAGAGGCTGCAGATTTTCGTATGACGGCTTTTGGAAAGTTGGCTCTTTTAACTCCTTTGCCACCCAATGATAATGTTTATTCTAGTTCCTCAGCTTTCACCAAAAGACTTCTAAACGCTATCGTTGTGACCTGTACAGGAATGTTAAACTGGTGGAAATGATCCTGTGCATTTACTGTGGTTTTCAGCAGCTTTACAGCAACTGTGTGTCATTAGCGGTTCACTGTTTTTCAACCCAGCCGATTTTGCATTGATCTGCTATCTAACATTATCAGACTCATGATGGACAGTTTTTTTTTTTCAAGGATCAAAATTGATGCAGCAGAAGCACCATTTTATTTTCATGTATTTTCTTCCTGGTCAAACCCTGGCACCTACATTACCCACAATGCAACACAACCTCTGATAGTTTGGTCGGAGACCCAGCTGTCTTATGCTGGTAGCAGATAGTGTAGCCTCAAGCGGCTCGCTACAGGCAGAGTGGGCTACAGAGGTCTGGTAAGGTCTGATAAGCTCACTTCTCTCTAACTCCGAACTCCCTGAGTTTTTCATGTTCAAACTTGTTCTCTTCAGATCCAACCAACCCCGGCCTCACTCGAGGCAAATCATCAGATTTTGCACAGCTCCCGTTGGAGCCACAAAAGACTCTCTACAACTTTTTCCCCATATGCAGTAGCACTCCCCGTGACCTGTGAATAGATGTTGTTGGGTAATAGCAGTTCCCTTTTTTAAAATGTAGTTTCCCATAATTTAAAACCAATACCTTTAACTTTCTGTTGCAGCCTAAACACTATCCAATGAGCCAGTTGTTACAACCCTCAAACGGACAAATCTGCTTTTCAAAAACAGGAAATTCACAGTGCAGCCTAACGTATCTTTGGATGTAAAAAAATATGCTCAAACCATGCTGTCAATCAGGTTTTGACAACTTTTCCGGCTGCTGGGGTGGGTGTAGACAAAAGATACAACGCTAATAGTTTACCCGATATAAAGCATACAAATGGCAGATTTATCAGGATATTTGAAAATAGAAAGTGTTGTGTAAACTGTTGTGGTTAATATCAGTGAGATTCTTCTATAGATATAAACTTACATAACACAACTTCAACATTTTAATTGGCTGAATTCTGAATGACATGCTAGACACAAAGTGCGAAACTTTTTTGGGGGAAATAACATATAGTCTGCATCCTGCTATTAGCAGAACAGATTCCCATTATAATTTATAGATGCTCTCAGTATGCCAGCAGGCAAAGAATCCAGTGTGTTATCTAAAGGATTCATGCTGCGAGAAGGCCTTTGTGGAGCGAGAAGTGCGGGCCTTTCCCCTGTGTGAAATATGAGCTGATAAAGACAGGATGCTGGCGGTAATAGAGGGCGGGGGGACTGAAGCAATGGAGGTAAAAGGCGAGCCATCTGAGCCCTGAAACTTGAAATCAGCAGTTTCCTGAGAGCCTTATAAGGTCAGCCATGGGAGGCATTTCCAGTATCCATCCACCGATTATTCACCCATCGAGGGGAGGCGGGGGTGTGGAGACTTGGGTAGAGGGAAGGGAGGAAAAGGAAAAGAGGGAGGGTTTCTGTTTTTTTGGTGTTTGAGTACTTTGTGTGTTTGTGAGCCCGTGACTGAGTGCTCGTCCAGGCCCAGACTCAGAGAGGGGCTCTGTTGATCCCTTTCACTGCAGAGGACATCTGAGCCTCTGTGTGATGCAGAGTCACTAATAAATGTGCTACTTTTTATGACCTAAAGCTTTATGGTATACGAGTCTGGGGTATAGGCTGTAACCTAAAACTCTACAGCGGCGATGAGTAATGCAGTCTAGACAGCTGAAGCATGTGTTATCTTCTCTTGCATGAGACAGGGCATAAATAGGTTGTAAATTCTTCATTTCCTACCTCTATTATCACACATAAATATTCATATAAGCAACAAGCACATTTACACTTGATGCATCCTGAGCTGATCAGATACCTCCGGCCAAGGATCTGTCAAGTGTAAATGCAAATAAGACATGTTGGAACGAGATCCGAATTTCATTTTGAAAACCTCGTTATACTCATTATGTTTAATGATTTCATAAAAAAAAAAAAAAACAGTTTATACCGCCTT